TTACAGGCCTCTCTCATCTTTTTAAGTGGGAGAACTTGCACAATTGGTGGCTGACTAAATACTTTTTTGCCCCACTGTAGCTTGAGACCAAATTTTCTGAAATAATGGTTTATTTTAGATGATTCCATTTGAGGAGGTTCTCATATCAATGCTGCGAGCTTGCCTGTGTTGGCTCTGTGTTCTCCTATATAACCCCATTCTCTGCATTTTGCTTCCTACCAAACTGTTCTCCTTGTTAGCATTTAAAAGAGCCTTAGAAACACATTTTTAAAGCCTTTTAGTTCTTGATGATTTAAATAGATTTTTAATATTTCAGTGCATTCTGATTTAGTGTTTTCCTCATATGCCTTCAAGAAGCTTTGGTACCTGGCTGTATAAACATTTAATAATAAATAAAATAATATCCCCAGATATGAAAGAACACCCATTTCTGTCAGTATTGGTGGTAGCTCCTTTAATATCTTCCTTTCATATACAGATCTGCCAGTGACACAAAAAGGAGTAGGGAGGCCTCTGTGTACAGGATATTTACATGTGGGTAGTACATATGGATAGTCTATAATTTGTTGCTACTAATTGCCAGGTTGATATGCAATATGACTGCCCTCAATCACATGTTGGCCAAATTGCATCTATAACTGAGACCTGGGTGGGCCTACAGAGGAGTGTCTCCCTTTCTGAGATATGCCTGTCTGGGTTTTGAGTCTGGCACCAGCTACAACCCCAAGATAGAAGGCATGGGGTGAAAGTTATTGGACGTTCTTCAGATGACTGGATGTGAGACTGTGTGGTTGAAATTGGGCTTTAGGGACGAGTCAACTTTGTTGTTGCTATACCAGGCTCCCTGCTGCCCAGCACCATCTCTGCCTGAGTCGCTCAACTCCACTATTCTGTTGGTGGTAGAGTCTCCAAAACTGATAGTCCTTGGAGATTTTAACCTGCCCTCATGTGACATAGAGTCTGCAAACGTCCCTGGAGACTAACCTTCCCTTGTGCAACATACAAACTGCAGAAGTCTGAAGTTTATGGCCACCATGAAAATCGTGGATCTGGCTCAGGTTATCAAGGGCCTGATGTACACATTAGATCTGATTTTTGTCTCAGGGCAGTTGAGATATGATCTGCAGGTAGATAACATTCCCATCAGTCCTTTGCCATGATCCGACCAATCTCTGGTTGCTTTTCAGATTGCTGGGGCTGTTCTCTTTTCAAAATTTTTGCACTCAAAGAATTCTTCCAAATGAATTTGGGCAGTTGGGTTCTGGCAGGCCTTAGAACAAAGACTGATTACCAGTGACTCCCTTTTCACCTTTCTATGTGCATATAAAATGCATATTTAGGAAGGCAGGGGTGAAGGTAGTGGAATGACATTGGCTTCACTGTCCTAATTCCCACTCTTCATTCTGGATGCATGTAGATCCTATTTTTTAGACCTTCAACACACACACATGCATACACACAGACCTACACCTCATGTTGCTTTTTCTACTGGAGAATGAGAGTTGAATCATACTTCCTAGGCTAAGTGCACTATATCCGTCGATCAGTGAACCACTGTAGTTGAGAATCCATGGGTTACTCAGTTAAAGAAATATTTATCTGAAAGTAAAAAGTGTGTGAGCATAAAAGAAATGTAATTATAAATAATCATGTGTAGTTGAAAGAATCAGTGAAGTGTAACAGGAAATCAGAGGTACCTACAGTACCTCCAAATTTTGTTTCTATATGACTGCGTAGTATCTCCAGAATGGGGTAACTAAGTCCCTGGATCAATTATCAACAGAATTCTAATCAAATTTATTTTTCTAGGAACGAGTAGACAGTTATCCTGATGTCCACATCATTTTGGGAAACCCAGTGAAACGTACTTGTCAAGCCTGTGAGCTACAGAGGTACTGTAAGTTTATAGTGGTTCTGTCTGGAAAGCTGTACAGCAGGCAAACGCTGGAAGTGGACAACTTCATGTCCAATGATAAACAGGTATGTTTTGCCAAGTACGGAAAAGCAAACGTATTTGCATGTTTCCGTTTTTCAGGTCTTGCACTTTTTAAGGCTATTTTGTTCAGAGGTTTCAGATATGGTATTTCAAAATAATGCATGCTAGACGTGTGTAGTGCCCAAAACCAAAATGGGAAAGGTGTTTTGTGTCTACCAGGATATGATCGCTCACTGTATCTATCAGCATCTCCTTAAAACAACCTTCAAGATGCATCTTTCCAAAATCTTCAGGGATGTCTCTGAATCTTAAGTAATTGTCTTCGCTGAAGTTCTAAAGTATCTATTGTTCTTTCCGTATCCTAACTTTTCAAATCTTGAGCCTTCCAATCCTTGCTTCAAGCTTTCTTGTCTTTCTTTTAACTCTGATTATGTCTTGTCTATTAGCTTATGACCACTTCCTTAACTCAAATATGAATTTTTCACATTAGATTCCAAAGCACGTTTTCCACTTCGGTTCCAAATACTGGCACCTCTAATGTATCATCAATATTTATTTATATAATTCATTATATGCCAGTTCACATTATTCATTGTTTATTTTATCAGCAACCAAGTAACCAGAATCACCTCCTTGAAACAACTGCTAATAAATGTGTGTGAAAGAATTGTCTTATTCTATAATATTTATGCATCTTAAACTTTTTGTAAAATTTCTTTTTAAAGAAGCTTTATTGTAACTTACTGGTTTCAGAGTGGCAGTGGATTTGTGGCTTAACAATTTATTATTATACTATACTATATTATTTACTTGCCCCAGTTCTGATGAAGTCTTATATAAAACTTACATAAACTTACATAGAAAGTTTAAATCAGGCTCCAGTCTGAAATATTCTTCCACTGACATCTTCCAAAGACTGACTACAATGCTAATGAAAATGAAAATGCCAGAGCTTGGCTTGATTCAGAATAGCAGCAGATATCTAAAAGTAATCTATCATTTTTCCGACGTTTATGTACAAATAAACTAAATAACCTTAAATAGTTGGGCAATTAAGTAAACAGAAGAGCTGAATTGGCCCCTTTAGAAGCTGTGATGATTTAACGATGTGAGAACTATGTTCCTTGAAGCAACATTTTGTCCAACTCCTTTTGTGTGCTAACAGCATCTGCTGTGCATATGTATAGCTTTAAGTTAGCTGAGTATTTGCTGGGCTCCTAACTCTCCATTTCCAAACTTTCTAATATGAAGTGACTGCTTAGCTTTATGCTGGGGTGACTGTTCTATTATGTAAACTGAGGGTTTTCTGTGTTTACATTCAGTAACGCGTTAAAAACATTCCTTTGCCATTCATGTAGCATTGAACAAGATATTCTTTGTGACTTAGTGGTAATACATGTATGCAACAAAGAAGTAATCCTTTTTATTTATTATTTCAAATGTCAGCCTGCTCCATTGGTGCCAGTATTTTAACTAATTAAAAGCAGTAATCACTCGGTAGCTTCTTGAACAAACAAAGAAGAAGTTGGACTCCGTTGACATCACTATTGCCTTCATCAAAGAGGGCACAGGAGTTGCTTTCAAATTAGGATTTAATTATTGGATAGTAGTAAAGGTCCTGTCTGTGTTAAATCCTCTTTCTTCATAAGACATCCATTCTTGCTTAACTAACTGCAATATTTGCTACTGTCACGCCCAGTAAAAGAACTTATGTTTGATGCAGATGTTGAAGGTCGGCACCGTATGTGGAAACCGTACCCAGGTTTATCATAATCTGAAGCATTATAAATATAAGTTGTATCAGAACTGCTGTTCAGCTATGAAAAACAAAGGTCTTCAGGATGAGCCAGTCAAAGATTTAGTGGACCGAGTTTTCAGCCAGCTGGATGAAGACGGCTGGATGCATCAGGTACATCAGTTTATTGATGGTTCAGAAATGCATTGCTTATGGATTAAACGAGGGGCTGAAGGGATTTATATAACATCTAAGAGGGAGGCGGACTGTAAGATTGTAATTATCTGTTGAAGAGAAGGTCAGAAGTCATTATATTTCATAACCTTAGTTTCTTTTTTTCTTTCCTTGCACTTTTCTCTTTCTTTTTCCCTTCCTTCCTTTCTTATTCTTTAGATTTGTCTTCTGCATTATGTAAAATTCTCAATAAATAGAAATCAATTTTAAAAGAAATGCATTGCTTGGAGGCAGGTAAAATTGTTGCAGAAGGATTATTGCAGAGGGGGGTAAATCTAATCCCTCATGAAATACAGTCCTGTGGAAAGTTAACTGAAAGTTTCTTTTGTTTAGAATCCAGTCCCAGCTCAAGATATTTGCTTGCTTTAATTATTTATAGGGTGCTAGGCTAGAGAAAAGTCCAAGTCTTGACCTATCTCATTTTACCAAGAGAACTAGCAGTAAACCTAAATGTATTGCTTGAAAGCAAGTTCCATTTTACTACTAAAACTGCTCTGGATATTTTCTAGTGTTTTTGCTGTAAGAGTAGATGTTTTCTTCCTGTGTTGGGTGCCGATTTGACATGGAACCGGGATATCCAAAAAAAATAAGGTCAGAGAGGTGGCACTGCATTGAAGCTCTGGTGGCATTTTTGAACGGGGGCAGTGATTTCCCTCCCTCTTTCTCTGTAGTCTGCTTTTTACTGTCAACATACAATATTCTGAATTTTCTGAGAACATATGTCAGTGTTTCCACAGGATCGAAACCTACTAAGACAAGAGAAGAGAATGATAGTTGTCCCTGTGACCTTTGCTTTTCTGTCACTTCTCTGTTTATCTGGAACAATGTACAGTGGAACCTCGGTTTACAAACTTAATTCGTTCCGTGACTCTGGTCGCACCCCGAATTGGTTGCAACCCGAAGAAAATTTCCCCAGAACAATGTACAGTGGAACCTCGGTTTACAAACTTAATTAACTCCGTGACTCTGGTCGCACCCCGAATTGGTTGCAACCCGAAGAAAATTTCCCCATAAGGTTCAATGTAATTACTGTCAATCTGTTCTGGCATGGAGGACAGGGAGGCGGCTATTGCTTGGAGGGAGAGTCCCCCTCCCTACAACCATGTGTCAGGGGCGGAAAATGGCCACAGACCACGTGTCAGGGGCAGGAAAATGGCCGCGGACCATGTGTCAGGGGCGGAAAAATGGCCGCGGACCATGTGTCAGGGATGGAAAATGGCCGCGGACCACATGTCAGGGGCGGAAAAATGGCCGCGGACAGTGTCACAGGAGGGAAAATGGCCGCGTATCCTGTTCATACCCCGAGGCGGAGTTCACAAACCGAGGTAAATTTTTGCAGCCAGAGCTGGTCGTAACCCGAAAAGTTCGTTAACAGAGGCGTTCGTAACCCGAGGTACCACTGTATTTTGTTCCTGTGCCCAGCCTTCTGCAGAACTGAGGAAGACTGAGCACATAAACATTCCCCTCTTCCTCACTTGGCACACAGAAAGGGAATGAAATGGGGAACAGGATCTATGGACAACAAAGAGCTCCTCCAAAAGTTTTCTTCTCTCCAAAGTAAAAGATCTAAGTCCATGTTTCACAACCTTGGCCATTTTAAGATGTGTGAACTTCAACTCCCAGAATTCCCCAACCAGCATGGGTGCTGGCTGAGGAATTCTGGGAGCTGAAGTCTACACATCTTAGAATGGCTAAGACTGAGAAACACTGACCTAGGTCCTTTCACAATTTCAAAGGCCAGGGAGGGACAACTTTCTGGGAAAAGTTTTAAGCCAGGTTTTAATTCCGTGCTCTTTCCACAACAAGTTGATTTGACGTCGTTGTTTTATTTTTAAAAAGAAGCAGACAAATCTCTGGGTCACGATTATTCCATTACCGTACATTATGTCAAAGTTACTGAAGAAAATGCATAAATATCTGCACAATTGTGGATTTTTTTCCTTTAAAAAAAAAAAGATTTTCAGATTTATATTCCACCTGTATTTTGTACAACTCAAGGCAGCATATATAATGCTTCTGCCTCCTGTTTTTCTCACAACAGCCACCTTGTGAGGTGGGTTGGGCTGAGAGAGAGAGACTGACCCAAAGTCACCCAGCCGGCCTCCATGCCCAGGGGAGGACTAGAACTCATGGTCTCCAGATTTCTAATCCAGCACTTTCACCACTACACCAAGCTGGCCTGACCACAAAAGATGGCTTTCTGAGAAGGCCCAAGGGATTTTGACAAAGGCAGCCGCCACTGATGTATTAGGGAGAGAAACTTTACCTAACAAAATTGTAATTTCTGAGTTGCTATTAACAGTGCAAAGAGTTTGCTAATAATCTGGAGCTACTATTTACTGATGCTAACTCCTTTCTATCTTTCCTTGGCTATTCCATTGACTACAATCAATCTGTGTTTAATTTAAATGGACCCCTTTGTCATTTCCCACTATACACCGTGTTGTTATTCCAAGTCTTCCCAAAATTGCAGCTGGGGGTCTTGATTATGAAATGCATTAGAAAGTGACTTTAATACTCTAAATTAAGAATTTTAGATGCCTTACAACGATGTTTGTCTTCTTTCCTTGAAGCAATATTCTGTCCTTGAAAAATATCTAGACGACGCAGATTTCTTCCAAGATGAAAAAATGGACTGAATGTATTTGTCTTTTGAAGGATTTTAAAGATGCATCTGTGTGCTTCAGCCAGACTGCTGATGGGTTTTGACTGCCATACCACATTCCTGCTATTATTTCTTTTTTACTTATGGTCCATAATAGCATGCAAATATATGCATTAAATTTCTTTTTTGTACTTCATTTTCATTATCAGAATAATCTTCTGAATAAATATTTTACCTTGAGGGCCAGATAGCTCATCAAACCATCTTGAAGTCCAACTGGATGTTCATTCAGCAAATGCGCTTTTCTGTGCTACATTACACAAGCACTTTCTTCGAAGAGAAACATTTCTATGTTGCTTTTTGATGCATTTTGTCAGCGTTTCTCAGTACCATTTTTTCTGTAAATATTTAGTATAAATATTTAGAGTAATGTTTTCAGGGCTGTATCAAACAATCTTCCTAAAACCTGCAGTTTATCCTTCCTGCAGGCCCAGAATTCAAGGACTTTATTTCCAGCATCCACTGAAGGAAGCAGAAATATCAGGATCCGTTCAGATTAGGCCAATCAGTTCCACTAAAACAAGAAACTGTTCTATTGTTGTTCCTTTTATTTATTTATTTTCTAACACAAGGGAAGGATCTGTAGACTACTTTTCTAATTTGTGCATCAACTGCTGTTCTGTGTGTGTGATGGCTTTCATTCTAAACTCTGACTGGGAGTTCGGTGGGATTCGGCATCTTGAAATGGATTTAATTGTGAAATACTGACCAGTCAGAGCCATAATAAACTTCAGGATTCCATGAACTGTTTTTCAGGCTGTTCAGTTCTCGGCTATTTCCTCCCATCCTTGAGTTGAGAAGAAGTATATTGGCATCAGTAGCATTGCCCACACAGCCCAACTTTTAACACACCCCAGCAATCAGGCCAAGCAGTGTTGCTGCTCTCACACAGTTTAATGCTGGGTACTTTCAGCATAGCATGTGGGGGATCGCCTGAGGTTCCATTCCATTCAGCCCCATGTCACTTACCGGGGGAAGATCAACCACCGATAGAGGCAGGACTGGGGCTTCAAGTCTCTATTTGCATTTAGTTATTCAGCTCTCTTCTTGGTAATTAATACTTATTTTTGTGCTTCTAATGACAGGCCTATTGTTCTCCCAGAAGACTGTTAGTCCTATGAAACAATTTAATAGATGCTGCCATCTAGAGGTGGTCTGGATTATTGTATGGGTCATTTGATTTGGAGGTAAGGAGTGTCACACACGCTGCTCCCAAGTTTGGCTTATGGTCACTCACTCACACACTCACAGCCTGTTGAGGCACGCGGATCTTGTCAGCCCCCCTTGCTTTCTACCTGGTTTTTCCAGATAGGTGCGGCTGGAGCAGACACACAGCCCTGGTCAACAGCTGGAAAATAATTAGGGATACACACAAATCACTTCCAACTGAACAGTGAGGCGCAAGAGGTTCTTTGTAATACACGGAGACCCAGTGAATTTAAAGTAACAGCAAAACTTTACTGGTTGCAAGGTACATTTGCTCTTTCTCACACACACACACACACACACACACACACACACACTTACCCACGTCCTTCCCAACTAAGCTGCCATGCACTAGCTAGGGGGAGGGAAGCCACCAAGTCTGGATTCAAAGGTGGCTCAGATGACTCAGATGACTCAGAAGACTCAAAGGACTCAGAGTGGGCGGGCTATGGGACCCCTTTTATCCCCAAAAGTCCTTGCTGGGTTGATTTACAAGTTGATGGGATTGGGGTGAGGTCTTCCATGTGCTCAGGCCCAACTTCCTCTTTCTGGTTCAGGTAGAACTTGTTCCTCTTCCATAATATCTTTAAGACACAGTCTATCTATAGAGGTA